ATTACTGAGACTAGTAGGGGAAGAGAAAGGACTATTGAAAAGCTTTGGTTTATACGATGGTAATATATAATGAGTGAAGAAGAAAATGTATACTGTTTTCCTGTTGATCTTGCCTTCAGATATTATCCCTGAGCAATGAAAGTTACACTGCAAGCCTTCACAGAGCATATGTCTATTGGGTAGATGTTTTGTGAAATGCCCTCAGATCATTGGAAAGACACATAATAAATTATAGGTAGTCTTTGATTTATGACCACGGTTGGGACCAGAATCATGATTGCTAAGGCAGTTATTAAGTGAATCACACCTGATTTTTTGAACTTTTTTGCTTCAGTTGTTAAGCAAATCATGCGGTCATTAAGCAAATCCTGCTTCTCCCATTGACTTTGCTTGTCAGACAGTGATCACATGACCCCAAGATGCTGCAGTTATTATAAATATATGTCAGTTGCCAAGCACTCATTTTTTGATCACATGATCATGGGGATTCTGCAATGGTCGTAAGTGCAAGGATTGGTCATAAATCATTTTGTTCAATGCTGTTGTCATTTTGAACAATCGCTAAATAACCGATTGCAGGTCAAGGACTCCCTGAATGGCACCTTCAGAATCAGTGTTTATTTTTACTAGGTTTGTATAAAGTAGTTGATTCTGAGTCAATCCAGAGCATAATGATTCAACCAATTGAGCTAAAGGAGCAATTCTGACTTGTTTGGATGCTTCTTGCATACATGCACGTGTGATTTCAAGTCCTAATAGATCTGAATTTGGAGATTCTGACTGAACTGATTTGCCTATCCCAAACAGTTTTCTAAGTGGATTCAAACACTGAAATGTAATCCGATCCATTTTTCAAATCAGTTTACAGGTACATGTTCAAATAAGAATTCATGTTCCTATTTATTTCCTAGTGTTTCTGCCCATCCCATAAGATTCAACAGGGTGAGCATGCTTCAAGTCCCCTCTACTGTATGAAACAATGCCAATTGGTGGAACCAGCCAGAGTTGCTTTGGATAGGGATATGGGCAGCATACAAATTTAATTTATATATATATAAATTATATGTGTGTGTACACTCTCACACACACACATCCCCAGGAGGCATACATCCCGAGGTTCAGATGAACCTAATCCTATTGCCTTTGCCCCCAAGTGTAGGGCCAGGTTTTGGGTCTGTAACATTTTGTAAGATCTTGGTGTTCCCTGAACTTAGCTGTTTTCTGGCAGTTGCATCACTGTACTGATGTTGTCACCTGGCCTGGTAATGAAACATCTGCAGGAAATCAACCAAGCTTACAGAATACTAAGAACCAGCAATTGACTTGTTAACATGTGGAACCCATTAAATTGTTGCACTCTCCCTGTCTTTTTGTTATTGTACTTTGATTAACTGTAGTTTTAAGGGTTGAATATTGTGATTATTAGGTGTGTTTTAATTGTGTATGCCACCCAGAGTTATATGCAAGTGAGATGGGCAGCCATGTAGATTCAATAAACAAAAACACTATCAAACCCAGATCTGCCTACATCCTCTACAATGTACTATCATTTGGAAATATTATTGTGGTTTGGCCTCAGTTTGTACAATGTTCTCTATTGCTTTTATTTTTGTCGGTTGTTCTGTTTCAACCTTATGTTAATTACCCAATCTCAATTTGTGAGTTGGACAGCCATATAAATCAATCTGTCAGGCAAACAAATCTAACCTGATTCTTTCACTTTTGACAGCTTCCTTCTTTGCAGGCATTTTCAATGTCATTTCAGCCAATGCTAAATCAGGTATTTATAGATAAGCAATGTTTCTTTCAGCCTCAATTCACCATATGCAATAAACACCAGAATAATAATATCGGGTTGCTTTACAAAAGTGTTGTAGGAAATTTTGTGAAGAATTTTGGAAATCTGAAATTTCCTATGGAAATTGTAACCATTATTATGGTAGGAGTTCAGTATTCTGCTCCCATAGTTTTGCTATGGCTTGATTGTGATTTTTTTGCTAATTCCTTCCAGCAAGAGCTATAGTTAATTTTTACGTAATCGGACATAGTATCATCTCCAAGACATTCTTGTGTGATAGCTCTAGAAAATAGGCAAAAAATACACATATCATTTTGAACCTTTCTGTGTCAATGTCAAGTAAGACAAGTAGTCTTGTTTGAAGGAGCTGATCTTGTCCTCCATTTATGTGGAGATCATAAAAGATAAAGGTTTCCCTTGTCCAGTCCTGTCTGACTCTAGGGGGAAGTGCTCATCTCTGTTTCTTAGTCAAGGGAGTCAGCATTGTCTGAACATGTTTCCGTGATCATGTGGCCACCATGACTTTATGCTGAGGTGCATGAAACGCTGTTATCTTCCCACCAAAGTGGGAAGATATCTACTCATATTTGCATGCTTTTGAACTGCTAGATGGTCAGAAGCTGGGGCAAATAACAGGAGCTCATCCAGTTGTGCACTGCTTGGGTCGCGAATCTGAGCTGTCAGCTGACAAGCTCAGTGTCTTTAACCACTGAGCCATCACACCCTTTTGGAGATCACAATATATCAAAATTGGATGCAACTATATTGGAGAAAAACTGCAGATTTATTATTTGTTATATACCTGTGCAGGAAAATCAGAATCTGTTAAGTTTGTCCAGTTAGCATGTGTACACTTCTGACAACAAAAACACTTAACCAGTTCCAGAGAAGTATCTATGCTGATCTTTCATAGTAAAAAAGTATTGCACATTTAAAAAAGCTACATGTACTCCTTAAAGACCAACAAATGTAACTACTACATTTTGATCTTCAAAAGCAGTGATGAAAGCAATGGACTTCAAGATGCCCCAAGACGTTTGTTGTTCAAAATAGATTTGTATATTTTAAATCTGTGTCTGTCTGTCTGTCTGTCTGTCTGTCTGTCTGTCTGTCTGTCTGTCTGTCTGTCTAATAGATCTATCTGTTTGTTACATGTGATTCTTATGTATGCATATTCTGCATGCATATTTGCCCGGATAATTGTAAAGCTGATGAACACAGTACTGTCACAGTAATATAAAGTGGGTATATCTGTTTTGTATCACATCAAAGCCTACATTTTTAAAGATGCATAACTATGATTCAAATGGATATCTATGCATATAAAGTAGAAATATGTTTTTTAAATCAATACAGATACCATAGAACACATATATGAATATGCACATATATGGCAAAAAGCTGTAGATAATGTTGCTTCCCTCTTAGATAACAATGTCAGGTTGTTATGTGAATTGTTTAATGTGGCTTCCTTTTATTTCTTTTTACTGAATTGTATCACAACCAGGCATTTTGTTTCTTTTAATGGTGGTGCATCTGCCCAACTCAGTTTTGGCACTTGAAATAAAAAAAAATATCCACATATTTTTCTTCCCATCTTTGGTGGTGAAAATATGTATCTGTGATTAATTAAATAGCAAACAATTTGCTATATGTTCGTGACATGGAAGTCTGTTGAGACAAATGCCTCACTATGCCAACATGTCAACAAAACCATACAAATAAGGTGACTTTCAAATCACCGTGTACAAAACAGTTTTCCAAACTTGAAACACTTCCAAAATGACTGAAGCAGCCAGTTGTGAGTGGAATTCCAATTGTCTTTGGAATCTCAAAAGGAGATGTTTTGAAATGGTGACAGTTCACTTCTGAAATGTTTTATACATTTCTCAACCCAACACAGCTGTAGTTAATTGCAAAATCAATTCCACTGAAGGCAACAGCATTTACATTATATTAAGGCCTGATAGACTGTACTAAAGTTGGATGGCCATTTGTAGTTGTACACTTAAAAGAGGTCTGTGAAGTCCTTGGTGCTCCCTAACCTTGACTGTTGTCTTGCAGACATTTCATCGTTATCAAACTAGGTAATGTTACCTCGTCTGGTAATGAAACGTCTGCAAGCCAACAGCCACGCTCGAACAGCACCAAGGACTCCACAGTTCAACCCTGAGCTTGAGATATTCTCTTCTATTAAAAAGGGGTCTTCCACAATATGATGTGTTGGACTACACAATCTCCAATGACAGTGCTGAGTGGAAATCATGGGAGCTGCATCTGGAGGGTACACTTTGCAGAAGGCTGATCTACCATCCTGTGACATCTAACATACTATAAAAGTGTCAACGCAATTCAAGAGTGTCCCACAGGTACAGCGCAGCAAGAAGCTGTTTGATTGGCTGCGGGGTCCTGTTGAAAGTGCGGGGCGGGAGGCGGGCAGGAGACTCGGATTCTTTGTCACGTACCTTGCGGAGGGAAGTGGAGAACTCACAAAGCTATTCGGAGAGAGAGCCACCAGGCCACCAGGCTTCACAACGCGGCGTACCCAGAAGGCTCCCTTCTTCCCAACCATACAGTCTGGGAACGCTTGACCCTTTCCCCAAAGCTCAGGGAGACGGGCGTGGAGGCAGGATCTGACCTTCCTACCCACTTTGGCAGCACTTAGTTTGCCAAGCCGCGTGCCGCTCGTCTCCTCAAGTCAGCCGCCGCCGCGCAGCGCCGCGTCGCCTCTTCTTCCTCCCCCCCCGGCCCCCACTCTTCCTCCTCCTCCTCCCAGAAGAGCTCGCCACGCCGCGGGTCCGCCGGCAAAAGCCCAGCAGGCCTCAGGTTCCTCGCCGTCTCTGCCCCCTCCCGCTGGGCTGAGGCTCGCCTGGGGCTTGCTCGTAGTGCGCAGTGCCTCTGCAACAACGGCAGGAGCCGAAGGAACAGGCGGCTCGCTCGGGGCTGGAGAAGGCAGGCGGCGGCGGCGGCGGCAGCAGTAAAAGCGGCGGCGGCGGCGGCTCCTCCCCCTCCCCCTCTTCCCGCTCTCCCCCTCGGACTCCCGCAGGCAGGATGGTGGCCGTAGCCCTGCAGCCCTCTGCGGGCCGCGGGGCGGGTCTGTAGCTGGCGTGGGGTGGTGCCCTTTGCAGCAATCGGGAGCCGAAGGCGCCGGGCGCCGGGCGCAGCGCAAAGCGCCCGTGCGCCCCTTCTCCTCTCGCTCTCCATGGACGGGGGAGCGGGAGGTGGCCCCGGGGTGCCCGGTTCTGAAAACCCCAACCGCGCCGTGGAATATCTGCTGGAGCTCAATAACATCATCGAGAGCCAGCAGAAGCTGTTGGAAACCCAGCGGCGGCGGATCGAGGAGCTCGAAGGGCAGCTGGAGCAACTGAACCAAGAGAACCGGGACCTGCGGGAAGGAGACAGAGAGCGAGAACGGGAGCGACACCGAGATCGGGACCGGGACCGGGACCGGGACCGGGACGGGCAGTATCACCACAAGGAGAGGGAGAGCCACTATCAGAACCGCACGGATCGAGACGGGCAGTATCAGAACCGGGAAGGCCAGTATCCCAACCGCGAGAACCGGACGGATCGCGAAGCTCAGTACTCGAACCGAGCCGACCGGGAGAGTCAATACCAAAGCAGAGCCGAACGGGAAGGGCAGAACCAGTATCAGCATCGGGACAAGGAACGAGATCTACAGCACTATGGAAACCGGGATGGGCAGTACCAGAACCGGGAGAGCCACTACAGGGAGCCCTGCCAGTTGCATCGAGAGCGGGCGCCGCAGTGCCATCAGGCTCGGGAGAAGGAGCACGAGTACCCTCGACCACCCCGGGAAAGGGAGAGGGGGCAGCTGAACCGTGGGGCGTCGCGGAGCTCCAGTCCTGGGGCAGGCGGAGGCCACAGCACCAGTGCCAGTACCAGCCCAGCCACCACGCTGCAGAGAAAGTAAGAAGCTGGTCCGAGCCTTTGCAGCCCCCTGACCTAGTGCCCTGCCTGCTCCCCTCCTTCCCGGTAGCTTTCTGGCCCAGCAGGGCAGGCAGATTCCAGGAGCTCTTTGGGGTTGAGGTGACCATTGGTGGTGCTGGTTGAGTCGTCTACAGTCAGAATCAGTGCGTGCAGCATCACAAGGGACCATGGGGAACTCTTTGGAGGATGGTGCTTGAGTGCAGTGCTTGGGGGAGGGGGAGGAAGGGAAATCAAAATATTATAGGTCTGCTCTCTTATCACCTTTCTGCTGTACTTTGTTCCCTCCATTCTAGGCTTTTGAATCTTGTTACAGTTACAATTAAACCCTGCCCCCACCATACATACACAAACACACACCAACTGCCTCCATTACCCATAATTAGGTGGATGGTGCTCTGCTATGCCACCCTCACAGTGGGGTCTGTTTTGTTTCCTCAGCTGATTTTCCTTACTAGATCCCTGCATTGAACCCTGCGTAGGACCCCTCCCCCTCACTGCAGGCTGCTCCTTGGCCAGTTGCCCAGAAGCTTCTGTGGCCCACTCTCCTTCTTTGGCCCTTCAAACTTCAACCTTACTTTCAAGCACCACTTTCCCTGATTCAGCACATGGTCTTTTTTGCTTTCCTAAGTTGCCAACCTGGATTCTTTTCCTTCAACACTTCGCTGGGGCTTGGCTTTCTCATTTTTCTGCAGAGAAGGGAAGACAAGCATAAAAGGTCCTTCTCAGCTGCAGCGGACCACTCCAAGGAGTGCATTCTCTTGCCAGCCTGGTGTGGTTCACCCCTGTAAACCCCAAATTTAAATTTAACATTCGTACTTTCCAAAAACTCGTGGATTCTTTTTTTCATACTGGTGCTCCTAAATGTTTCCCTCCACACCTTTCATGGCTCTTCCCTCCCTCCCTCCCTCCCTATAGAAACCCATAGAGGGCAAAGAGTTATTCTTAAATGAAAGTACATAGCAACCCCAGTGAGCTTCTGTTTCCTGAATCCTCAGATGAATTCTTTCATTTATTTCCTGGCCAATATTGGGGGAGTGATAGGGAAGAGCCTTTTAATGGAGTAAAATCTTCTTCTTCTGCTACGTACTGTGTTCTTCTGTCTCTTTTGTCTGGGACATGTTTAGTAAGGCCTGCTCTTTCTTTCTGCCTGGATTGCAGTACTCATACACGCTTGTATCCATGTCCCTTTTTGTCTTGCCAATCTTTAGCGGCTAGCCTTCCTCTAGAGCAGTGTTTCTCAACCTTGACAATTTTAAGGCATGTGGACTTCAACTCCCAGAATTCCACAGCCAGCAATGCTGGCTTTGGAATTCTGGGAGTTGAAGTCCACATGCCTTAAAATTGTCAAGGTTGAGAAACACTGCTCCAGAGCTTCCTCTAATGGGATAACTCACAATCTGGACACTTCCCACTGCCATTGAACTGGGCCTGGTGGGATGTGACTTCAGTTAGCTCCAGCAGAGAGAGTTGGTATTGAACTAAGGCACCAGGAACTAGGCATGCATAGGATGTGGGTGTGAAACGGTACTGCATGGGCTGTGTGGTTCACGGCATGTGCTGAGGATTGAGTTCAGGAAAATGTGATCCCTGGGTGGGGAAGAGAAGATGTAGTTGATTTAAGGTGCAAGTAAAAGCATAAGTTTTGAGTGAGTTTGAGAAAAGAGCAGAGCCAAGAAATCTTTTGCTGCCTTTCAGATGTGTTGAACTGCACTCTCATCATCCATAGCGATGCAGCTTGGAAGTGATGGTGATTATCATGTATCTATTCTGGGGGAAACAGCTTTGAAAAAGTGAGCGTAGTTACTAGTGTGTGAGAATCAATTATAATAATCACACATTTGGCACTATCTACATTATTACCGGAATAGTTACAGCCACGCAAGATAGGCCAGCAGTATTATATTCCTAATGAAGGTTTGCAGGAGAACAGCGAGGTGCCTGAAGCCTTCAGATGAGCTGTTATCAGAGGCAACATTTGCACCTATGATCTTCTTACCTCCTAAATATAAAGCTAGGTTATGTTATAAAGCATTATTTTCAAACTGATAATTCTGTTTCTTCCAACTACTGGATTCTGACCTCAGGATTCTCAAAGCCTGCTGGGATTCCCTTGTCCGTGCTCTCTGTGGGATGAAATGAACAACCTACAAGCCATGTATATCTCCTTAAACTTCATTTAAGCTCTCCCTGACTGGGTAGCTGAAACTTGGCAATGCTGTTGCCGAAGATCAGTGGCCCAGTTTTGAGGTGAATGACAACCACATTGCTATGTATGGGGTTGGTTGAGGATTATGGGGATTGCAGTCAGACCATTCCAGGGGGTACCGGTTTGGGGGAATGCTGCACTAGGGTGTCTGATCTAACGCCACGCCATCAGACTCTGGGCTCCATAATTGATAGTTCCTGGCTGGAGAATCATAGCGTTTGAATGCCAGCAGCACTGCATCTTGGACATGGATTTCAGAACAGGATCGACTCTGGTGGTCCACAAGCTTGGATTGAAAGCTAAGAAGCAGCTAAGCCCGAAGAATTGAGCATCTTCCCTCAGAGGGAATGGATATAGGGGTGGCTGTGTGGGGTAGGAATTGATGGATCCAGCCATTCCTGTTCTTTCTCACTCACTCTCCTCATTGCCGCCTCCTTTTCTGGTTAGAAATTAGCAAAGTGGTTTGATGCTGCAAATGACTTAAAATCAGCACAAATGTGTCTTGCCATTCCCGCCCACTCCCTACCAACACTGGGGAGGTTTAAAAAAAAAAAAAAGCCTGAAGTAGCAATGCTGGTGGGGTGGGGGGAATGACTGATCCTCTTCTCCATGCTGGCAGAAAGCTAGAAATGACTAGAGGCAGTCCTTCTTTCCTCAACCGAACTAATAACTATGACTTTCCTTTCTGGTTTTATTCTGAGCAGTGAAATAAGTTCAGTCTCTAAAATCTAGCCAGTAACTCAGTTTAGCTTAATAGTTAAAAGTGTGACTTATGCACCTTATCTGAAAGCCCTTTTTCAGGTTTCATTTCAGCTCTAAACTTGTTCAATGGTCTTAAACCTATAGTCATCTTTCAGCTCTTCGTTTGCAATAGGGAGATATTTAGCACCAGTTTATCTTAAAAGGCCAAGGTAAAGAAGAGTGAGAAAATAGGCATACTTGCCTTGATAAATAGTCATTTTCATCTGTGGTTGCTTAGTGTTGTGAATAATAGCTTCCTACAACATGCAGAGCAGTGGAGGTCTTCCAGTGACCCAATCCCTGTCAGCCTCTGTGGGGGTAGGGGTGAGGGTGTCTGTCTGTCTGTCTCTACTGCCTTTTACACTGCTTCCAAATGGAGTGTTTGCAAAGGGAATTTCTTTTTCATTGGTCTGTTGTGATTGCCGCATGTGACAAAACATGTGGCTGTTCAAATCGTCTCCCCCAGGTTTTTTTTTCTTTTTTACAAACAGCTTTTTATAAATTTTTTGTAAACCGATCTGGTTAATTTGCTAGAAGCACTGGGCTAGCCTGTGTTCCAGAGGCAGGTTTGCTAATTCAGGAAACTAACTGTTCATGATAAAAACATACCTTGCTGGATTTGGGACATTAGGAGGAGCAATCAATCAGATGCCATGCTAATTGATCTCTCCTGCTATGGCTTGTAAATATGTGAATGGAAAAAGAGAAACATAGATTCTCTGCCTCAGCACCCTTCTGGCTTTGTGCATAGCTTATCAGATATTTCTGAGGAGTTCACTATGTAATGCTGGCAAATCACAGGATCATTGACCCCAAGACCATGAGATAAAAGGCAAAGGGAATTAGGCATCTTTTAGAGCCAGGAATGTGGGCGGTTGAAGCCAAATCTAATACAGGGAGTTTATAAATTGGGTTATCATTGCAATTGTAATGAAGTTCATCTGTGGACTCTTATCGTGTGTTGTAGCCAACTCTCAAACACAGAACCTACTCACACAACATATCAGAACATAGCTAAATATATTTTGGTCTTGTGTATTGTGCAAACTCAACCCCATATGCCTAGTTTATGGCTAGGTTTAGCATTCAGAATAATATGAATGCTCTTTTTAAACAGCAGTTATTCCTGTTTCCTTTCTTTTTTTCATTTCTAGGAGAGAAGTATACATTGTGAGGTAGTTAATATTAAAAATGAGGTTGGATTTCAGGCAGTATCACCATGCCAGTAACCGACTTGTATAATCCTCGATCACAATAAGAATAGAAAATGGATGGCCACATGGTGACCATGGTGTTGAAGATATGGCCAGTCAGGCATTTTTAATCCTGTCTTAATATTAGGAAAAGAGCAGCTTTATTTTTTTAAGCAATAATTTTCATTAAAGTACTTTTAACAAGATAAGAACAATACAAATTTTAGAGAAGAAACAAAAAGAATAAATAAAATAATGGCTAAGGAAGAAAAAGAAAGAAAGAAAAAAGATGAAAAAGAAACGGCTTCCAATCTTCTTAACAACTGTATTTACATTTTGCCCCCCCCTCTTAAGATTACATCATTTCCTTTCCTAGTGTACCTGAAATTTCTAATAATCAAACCCCTTAAATCGGAATTTAATGCTAATTCTATCGTCTTCACAAACCATTCCTCCACTGTTGGTATTTCCATTTTTGTGCATGTAATAGTCTCGCAGCAGTAGGCAAAGAGCAAATTTAAAACTGCCTCTATCTAGAGGTGCTCCAGGTTGCTAACTCTCTCCTTCCCATAAGACTCCAAAAGAATGGATTCTTTCTCTCTCATATGCACACCACCAAGGACAGAAGGTAACAGAGGAGATACATTGGAGAAGAAACAAGGGAGTTACGGGCACAAACTGTCGCTAGGTATTCTAGGCAATGGACCCAGGACTGTGGTGTTCTTTTTAAGCAAGTACTGCCTGTTTTAGCACAATGTCTAGTTTGACCTGAAATGCTCACATTAAGTTCACCAAACATTGATTTGTTGTGTTTGGAAGCTACCTAGAATTGGGCAGTA